ATGATGAGGGCAATGAATGTACAAATGTGCTTTACACAATTGATGTATGTATGGATTGTGATAAGAGTTGTATGAGCCCCTAATCAAATGATTAAAAAGAATATCATAGCTTGGGTCAGGTGTACCTTAGTACTCAAAGGAACATCTTTGCGTTTCAAGACTTTTCACGAAGTTCATATCTACTCAAAGATGATTGCGACCATATTATCCTACTTCTTCTCTTGAGATCTATTTTAGATTCTGCCATTTAAAGGGCAACTATTACTTTCTCCCATGGGGGGAAAAGACTGAAGAAAGTCAAAGGAGGAAGAGGAACCGGAAGCAGAGAGCAGCAATGGGATCATGGGTGGCATATGGCAGGTTGTGCAAGGGTTAACTAGAAACAAAATGTGTGTGAGGTTGGAATGTAAATCCGATCTCTGCTCTGTAAATTGCCAATTCACAATAAAAAAGTTTTTATAATTTGTGATTCTATTTTCTTTACTAATTGACCTTCTTCTTGTTTTTAATAATTTTACTGGGAACTCATAACAATCCATACCTCCATTGTGTCAAGCACATTTGTACATATGTTGCCATCATCCTTTTCAAAACATTTTCTTTCTACTTGAGCCCTGGTATCAGCTCCTCAATAGTTTTCCTGTCTCCCCCACCCTCTTGAACCCTTGATGGATTATAAATTATTATTTTCATCTTAAATCGTCTGCTGTCTCCCTTCACCCATGTTTCTGTTGTTTGTTACCCTGGGTGGGTAGGGAGCTATATGTCAATCATTGCAACCAGTTGCCCCCTTTCTTCCCACATCTTCCCTTAGTCAACCTTCTTACAAGGCTCTCCCAAACTAGATATTCTTCAAGACTTTGTCCTCCACCCTTTATTCTTCTTCTCTAAAGGGGGTGTCTTAGAGAGCACATAAGTCTCTAAAAAAGATCGAACAATTACATGTGCAAGGGTGACTCTAAGGAAATAGATGTCTCCAGCCTGACTTCTTTCTCCACTCAAGTCTTACATTTCCAACCTCATGTGCGATCTTGCCTTCTGCATGATCTGAGTTTGTGAAAAATCAGGATATATAAAAAATTAAAATAATTATCTTCTCTGCTCTGGCAATTTAGTCAATGTTCATTTTCATGTTCACGAGGGAAATCAATGATCTTGATGTTTTTGAGACGCTTGGAATGAGCATGGAATTTAAAGGGAGACAGGTATTTAGCAGCAGAGGGCGAACAGAAGCTAGCAAATATGGTCTCAAGGGACAAAGATGAGAACAGGAAATCAAAGGAAGACAGTCTAAAAGAAGTGTTAAATCCAGAAGAGTTGGAGCAGAGCAGTAAAAGCCTTATCTAAGGTGTGTTAGTCTGGGTAGACTAGAGAAGCCAATTCATACACACAAATATGTATATAAGGGAAATGTTTATATACAAGAGGAACTGAACATTGAGAAAACATCCAAACCCAGTCCAGTCCAAGGTCATAAGTCCGATATTAGCCCATATGTCCGACAGCAATCTATAAAGTCCTCTTCAGACTCACAAAACACATGCAATGACGCTGAATGTAGAAGATCACAGGCCAGTGGGTAGAAAGTTTTTGGTGGTAGAAGCATCTCACTGCTGGCAGGGGTCTCCATGTGGCCATTCCAATTCCCAGGGCTTCATCAGGGTCGGTCCATGTGCCATCTCGTCAGGGATGCCTTGCAGGAAGTCAGCCTTGTCAGTAGATTGTCTCCAAGAGAATGAACCTAGAGAGATAGTGTCTCCTGCCTCCAAGAAGGAATGACCAGATTTCCCAGGATCTCAGGAGAAGGTCATGCCCACACAGAAGTCTCATTGGCTATCTCCAGATTGGCAGCCTAGACTCCACCCCTACACTCTTAATCCTTAAATTGACACCAGATTAGGTGACTACCACATAAGGCAAAACGTTTGCAGCCAATCTCTCTCCTCACTTATTGACGTGGTCATGTTTCAGGGCGCCGTTGTTTTGTGAAAACGGAGGGTGATTGCATCAGATCACTCAATGGAGGATGCCTGCATCATCACCTAACTGCCAAATGACATTACACACGACTACCAAATTAACGATGTAACTGCCAAGCTCCAAGCATGCTGGCCCAGTTCAGCTGACAGTAACCCTAATCACCACAGTGCTATACTTTCCTCACATCTCAGAGTTTGGTACTGCCAGAC